AATGAGCTACGAGGAAAGGCTACGGGAGCTAAACCTCACGCCCCTGGAAGACAGACGAGTAAGGGGAGACATGATAACTACCTACACAATTATCAATGTAATTGACAGGTTGGACAAGGACAAAATATTTAGCACAGGTGGAACACGAACAAGGGGACACAGGTGAAAACTTAGTACCCAAATGGGCCACAGAGACATTATAAAAAAAATTTCAGTGTCAGGGTACCCAACCACTTGGGCTGGAAGGTAGAGCGACGGTCTCGCTTCGTGCAGGTCGGCGTTCAATCCCCGACAGTCCAAGTGTTTGGGCACCATTCCTCCCCCCCCCCCCTATCCCATCCCAAATCTTTATCCTGACCCCTTCCCAGTGCTATATAGTTGTAATCACTTGGCACTTTTCCCCTGATAGTTCCCTTCAGTGTCAGAGTAATTAACAAATGGAATGCATTCGGTAGTGATGTGGTAGAGGCAGACTCCATATACAGTTTCATATGTAGATTATATAGAACCCAATAGGCTCCAGAATCTATACACCGGTTGACTGACAGTTGAGAGGCGGGATCAAAGAGCCAAAGCTCAACCCCCGCAAGCACAACTAGGTGAGTACACACACACACACACACACCAGGGGGCTTCCCGGTTAAGTGGACAGCGCTCTGAGGTCGTAGTCTTTATGGCCCGGTTTCGATCCCAGGCAGAGGCAGAAACAAATGGGGAGAGTTTCTTTCATACTGATGTACCTGTTCACCTAGCAGTAAATAAGTACCTAGGAGTTAGACAGCTACTACAAGCTGCTGCTTCCTGGGGTTGTGTGTGTGTGTGTGCGTGAGAAAAATATGTGATAGACATAATAGAGGAAAAATAAATTGGTTAGAAAGGCGGGGTCCAAGATCTAATAGCTCGATTCTGCAGATACGAATAGTAAATACACACACTGCTCTTCATTTTCCTTTATAATATTGTTATAAGTGGAGGGGGGAGTGGTGTTAGGCAGGGAAGGGGGATCGTTTCTCAGGGAGGGCCATATTTTTCCCTGCTTTAGGGAAATCGGCTTCCAACACCACCACACAGCCGTACGCCAGACCTTGGGAACCTGGCATGGGGCTTATGTGGAGCACCTAAATTCCCTCACCACTCGCACTTTCACAAACAGTGTCTTGAAACACTGAGTGCTTATTCTGATAGGAGCTTTGTGATCATATATTCCGCTTTTCAGAATAAGATGCGTCCCGCAACTTCTACAGCGCAGCCGCCATGACCACCTACAAGAACAGAAAATAAAATAGGTGTCTGCATTGGGGCAAAAAATATTACACCCACCAAATAAGTCAATCATATGAAATTCATTTAGTCTCAAAAATGATGATTAAGGATTCCAAACCAATTGTTTAAATGATTGAACATGATCAGATCCTGAATAAAACTTTAATATTTCCCAATTACTGTATACATAATACATACCAATGATTTCACTAAATTATTAAAATTTGGTTTCAGTATAACAAAATAAAATACTTTATATATAGTAAACAACGCACGACACAGCTTAGGAAAATGAATTAAAGTAATTCCGAGCAATACGCTACGCTCAAAAATAGACAGGACAAATACTTCTCTTCAAACCCGCTGAAACATTGCCTGAAACGGACTCATTATCGAACATTGCCTGAAACGGACTCATTACCGAACAACATTGCCTGAAACGGACTCATTACCGAACAACATTGCCAGAAACGGACTCATTACCGAACAACATTGCCAGAAACGGACTCATTACCGAACAGACTGGACTGTGAGGTGAGCACTACGAAGCCTCTCGTCTTGCGACCTTGAAATTAGAGTAAACAAGAAGGAAACCGAATTGGCAGAACTAAATTTTTATAATTTTCAGTGATGCTGTACAATATTCAGTGTTGCTAGTAAATGTATGACTAGTGCTAGTAAAATGTTTAGCGTCGCACGTAAATTCAACTTTAGTTTCACTAGACACATTTTAATTGTTGCTAGTCAAATGTCCAGTTACTAGCAAAATGTTGTGGTGCTAGTAAAATATTCAGGGTTGGAAGTAAATTTCAAGTGGTGGTCTTACCAGTCGTAAGGTGCCGCCCAGTTGGGTGGGTGTGGAGTAAGACAAGTAACTGTGTGACTCACCGTAGATGTAAAGTGGCTTTCTATAGTAACTGTTGTGAGCCTCTTGGTGAATCACTGGTGATATAAAATGATTAGCGATATGTATATGTATTTGTGTAAATGATTGTATGTATATATATGTGCATGTATATATAACATTAACAAGTGTGTAACTAGCTTCACAAGACTGTCACTTGCTTAGCTAAACGAACTATGGCTATGTGTAACCCTTTCCACCACCGCCCACGGGGTGGGTATCGGGTGCATAATAAAGAAATTGAATTGTTAGAGAGCGAGAGCTGAGATACGTCTTATACCGAACTTACGTTTGTTAACGAGTCTCTGTATGACTAAGTACAATGCGTCTGCGTGATTAAGTATACTGTGCCTGTATGATTAAGTATAATGTGTCTGTATGACTAAGTATAATTATATGACGAGTATAATGTGCCTATGATTAAGTATAATGAGTCTGCAGGTGTTAAGTACAAGGAGTGTCTGCATCGCTCAATATAATGCATGCATGTTTAAGCATAATAAGTGTGTGTGTGTAATTACCTAAATGTAGTTAGGTAATACCAACCGCGCGCGCGCGTGCGTGCGTGTGTTTGTGTGTTTACTAGTTGTGTTTTTGCGGGGGTTGAGCTTTGCTCTTTCGGCCCGCCTCTCAACTGTCAATCAACTGTTTACTAACTACTAACTTACTAACTACTTTTTTTTTCCACACCACACACACACACACACACCCCAGGAAGCAGCCCGTGACAGCTGACTAACTCCCAGGTACCTATTTACTGCTAGGTAACAGGGGCACTTAGGGTGAAAGAAACTTTGCCCATTTGTTTCTGCCTCGTGCGGGAATCGAACCCGCGCCACAGAATTACGAGTCCTGCGCGCTATCCACCAGGCTACGAGGCCCCGTGTGTGTTTGTGTGTGTGTGTGTGTGAGTGTGAGTGAGAGAGAGAGAGAGAGAGAGAGAGAGAGAGAGAGAGAGAGAGAGAGAGAGAGAGAGAGAGAGAGAGAGAGAGAGAGAGAGAGAGAGAGAGAGAGAGAGAGAATGAATGGCACCACTGATCAAGCAACCTGTCCTCTTAAAATAGCCTAGTCACACCGTGGACAAATGGATGTATAGAACAGCGGGAAACTTCGAGGCTTCATACGACAGCTTGCGTCCCACAAGCACAGATACATGTGAAAACGTATTGAAGCATGTTGACCAGACCACACACTAGAAGGTGAAGGGACGACGACGTTTCGGTCCGTCCCTTCACCTTCTAGTGTGTGGTCTGGTCAACATTCTTCAGCCACGTTATTGTGACACATCGCCTGCGTATTGAAGCATGTTTGTACATGCGGTAAATCTGAAAGTTGAGAAGAAACAGCAGGACTAGATCACACGAGGTCCTGGGGCTGCTGGCACGACTGGAGAGGAGGGAGAGGACTGAGGGTTACGTGGGACTTATGCTAGGGTTACCGGGTTGAGGGAAAATGGCTTCCTCCTACACCACCGACCTTTACCACTTCTGAGTTAAACACCGGGAAAACATGCACATTTCTTCTGCATTATTGTTACTTCAAAATGTATAATTTTCAAAATACTTTTTACATGCCTCAAACAAGCTTATATATCTTTAGAAAAAACGTTATCTGAAAGGAAGAGTGTATTGGAACTGTCAAATGTAGAGATTTTCAACCATTAGGTTTCAAATATCGAGGTATAGGTGAGGGTTCCTTAATTAAGGAAGGTGTGTACATGACACTAGCCATGCGAGATGCTAGTTAAGTGTTAGTTATCTATTGGTTGGTGTGGAATGTCTGATATTTGCATGTGTGAATGTATTTTGTTGGACTGGCGATGTTTTGTGAGGGCTGGTGTACTGAGTTGAGGGGAGTGGTTGGTCTGAGGGCATCAACTGGTTGTGAGCTGCTCTATGTTGCTGTGTGTGGGAGGTAGTGGTGTGGTAGACGGGAGAGGTGACGGAGGCGTTGGTGGAGCACTGTGGCTGTGATGCTAGGCTCACTGCCACCTTGCTATTGTGCATGTGTGCCACCTCCTGTTGATGCTGGTGTTGGGCTTGTTGCTGTGGCAGTTTCCCTCGATGCTGAAGACTCTTGTGATTGGCTAGAGCATTGCGGGTGCGGTAATGTTTGTTGCAGACGTCACACTTGTGTTGGTAGGTGGTGGTGGAGGAGTGCTGGTCGCGAATGTGTGTGGGCAAGTGGGTCCTCTTGCTCAGCCACTTGTAGCACACAGGGCACTGCTGCTGTCGACGCGGGTCCACTGCAATGAAACACCGACATAATCAACAACCACCATAATAACCAATGTCCTAACACTTATGTATATCACTGTTGGGTGTTGGTAGCAACTAACACCTGTGCATATTAAATCACTGGTTGAGGGTAGTAACCAACATGTGGTTGCAGGTTAACACACAGCGGAAGTGGGTTGTAACTAACACGTGCACTCACAGCACAGTCAACGTATGTTGTAACAAAAGTTCCTCAACCTCTAGTTCCCTTTAGGGTTCTTTTACATATTACATAATTATTGGCATTAACAAGACTGGCCTAAGCTAGCTTCAAAACGTTTAATATTAAATTTGGCGCATAACAAGCTTAAGCCAAACAGGATGCACAAGTGTATAATAACAATGAAACTACAATAACGTGATATGACTGTTAGAAAATCTTTTCACTAGGAGGGCGAGATGGTGCGGGCGTCCTAGAACACCCCCAGCCGCGCGGGTTACATTAAAATGGGATTGTTTACTATATGGGTGCCTCTATAAACCCCTAGTGAGTTCGCCCAAACTTTTTAAAAGTATATTGCGCGTCCGGAGTGACCCAAGTTCGATCCAGCCGTCCTGCTCCAAACATGTTCTCAAATGTATGATTATTTCTATTAACTGAACTTAAATACAGACACACATACAATTACTAAAAACGGATCGTTTCTTTTATTAATATCCTAACCATGACTTCCTGGTCAGTTAACGGTACGAATGGCACAACAGTTTAACATATTCAACTCTTGAACACTTGTAACTCACGCTCTTGTAAAGCGTGAACAGAGCTGACAGAGAAGCTGCAAGCTGAGAAGTTATACCCTCCATTACCTGAGAAGTTACCCTTCATAAACTGGAAATATTCTCCATAAAGTGAGAAGTTACTCTTCATAAACTGATAAATTAATCTTCGTGAACTGAGAAGTTACCCTTCATAAACTGGAAGTTACTCTTCATAAACTGAGAAATTAACCTTCATAAACCGGAAGTTACCCTTCATAAGCTGGAAGGTACCCTTCATTAACTGGAAGTTACCCCCTTCATAACTTGAGAAGTTACCCCTTCACAAAATAGAAATTACTCTTCATAAATTGAAAAGTTACCTTTCATGAACTAAGACGTTACCTTTCATGAACTGAGAAGTATAGCATTCCTTTGGTTACCTGTTGGAGCGAACAGTCTCTCATGAGATGAGACAAACTTCTCATGAGAAAACAAGTCTCTCACTGGTTAAGATAAGCCTACAATAAGTCTCTCATGAGTTGAGACAAACTTCTCACGAGAAAATAAGTATCTCTCTTGAGATGAGCCAAGCTTGTCATGAGACAAACCTTGCACAACACATTTCTTACTATGCACGTTGCTCTCTTCAGTCCCATGTTAATCTAGCCATGTTGCTTCCTTTAATTTTTAGTTGACTTAATACAGCATTAGCAAAGAATGCCTTAGGATTCTGGACCCTTTAAAAATACATTTCTTATGTAAAATAGAAAAACTTAATTTTAACCAACTTTTTATCTGGTGTTCTTGATTGAGCTAACATGCGCCAGTGACGTATAATTAACGTAGGATCAACGTTATATCAACATTTGGCCAGCTTTGCCCGGTAGGGTGGCATCCATGGACACAATATTCAAGAGGGGCCGTTGGTTTGACGTTGAATCAACGTTGGTGTCCACTGAGGGGAAGCCTAGCCAAGTGTGCCCAGTGGGGGAAGCCTAGCCAAGTGTGCCCAGTGGGGGAAGCCTAGCCAAGTGTGCCCAGTGGGAGGGGGAAGCCTAGCCAAGTGCCTAGTGGGGGAGGGGAAGCCCAGCCAAATGTGCCCATTTGGGGGAGGGGGGAGCCTAGTCAAGTGCCCAAGTTGAAAGAGCCATGACGTTGCCAGCAATGATGACGGAGTGCCAACACCTGCGTGACTTGGTGCGTGTTGCAAGGTGTTATGTTCCATTACAAGACACGATCACTGAACTCTATCTAAACCATAGTGCATGACTCAGCACAGCTGTGACTAAAGGGCACTTACACAGTCATAGAACTTAACGATCCTCAGAACAACACCAACTTCAAACTTACAGCACCGAGACAGTTTATCATAAACAGGAACTAATACCAAAAAAAGAACCACACAAACAGGTAGACAAAACAAATGTATAAATTTGGATTTCAATTTATTCACAATATATTTTACATCTGCATCACATCAAAACCAGAAAAATAATGATACTTAAGAAAATCTTTCTTCTTATCTTACACTATACAGCGTATTACTATAAATAAAGAATTGTAACGTAATGACAAGATTATTCAAACATAAAATAATAGATGGGTAGTCTGACACTTGCAGCACAAATAAACTAAAATTACTGAATGCATGTTTATGTAGGTGTGTACATATATAATACAGTATATATAAACATACCTATGAAATAACCTGGTATGAGAGGGGTCAAACTAGCGTCTCTCTGATGACAGTAATTAAACAAAAGTGTTTATTAAATGGCTGCTGGTTGTACCATAACAATTAGGTGTAACTAATATACCACAGATTGGTAAGAAAAGTGGTCGACGTTATTGACTTCGTTAGCGTATTCTCGGCTCTAATTATATGGCTAGGCAAGGCAGTTATATTTCCAGTAATATAAAGACACCCGCATGTCAAAGCTCTGCAAGCAACGTTCTCACTGCCGCTCTGCTCAATGTTTTTACGCTAGTTCCGGGTCAGAACACGGGTTACGTTATTCTGCGTACCATGGACAGGTTACAGTTATACCCTTATATATCATACACCTCTGCCGGAGACAGAAGCAGCAGCAATTCAGACTTACAATAGGTTCACCCAAGTACATACCATATGGATCCATGGGACACCAAGTAACATAACCTGGAACATCCTTCCTAAAACACGACTTGCAAGGTGTGACATGTGTCTTTCTCTTTACTTCCTTCAAATTTGAACTGCTCAACTAAATCAACCTAATACATTAGCACCGAAAAAAATAGCAGTGAACGTAGCGTTAGGCGCTACGTTCACCAACTATATAAAGAACGCATGAGCTTCCATTAATAATATCATTAGACCATTTTGTCTGGGGTTTCCAGACAAGTATATTTTTCAGCTGTGTGGCTCAAAGCAGCTGGTTCACCTGTCATTCAGAGTAACCTGGATTCTAGCCCCGTACTGTTCGCGGGTTATTTCAATTTTATTCACACACGACAAATTGCGTGCTAATGTATGTATGTGTGTATATGAACCTATGTATGTATAGGGGTATATATATATATATATATATATATATATATATATATATATATATATATATATAACTGTTAAAGACAGAGTTATTAGGCGTATGTAGTGATGGTAGGTGGGAAGGGGTTGTAGGGTAAGATAACAAACTAAGCTGTGACCAAGGAGCTAGGTAGTGGTGGTGTCGCTCTGCTGCTGGCAGGACTCCTGCATGTTGTACCCGTAAGTAAGGTGGGCGTGGGTGTACTCCCGAGGATTATGTGCGTGCGTCGAGGTGTTTGTGGGGGTCTGGGAGTGTGGGTGGTGGGTGGGCTGCGTTGGCAGGTGGTCTAGGTGGTGGGCATCGGTGGGCGGGTCGGGGCGGACATGGGGGAGCGTAATGGGGTGGTTGAAGGCGTCCAGCTGTCGGGCGGTAACGTGGTGTACACGGTACATGTGCGTCAACACGTTGGAACGGTTGCGACAGTTCTTGCCGCACACGGGGCAGAGAGCAGCGCTGGGGTCGTGGGCGGTGTGGTGGTCACGAACGTGTCGGCTCAGGTTACTGCGTGAGCGGAACTCCCGCCCACAGTGGGTGCACCTGTGGCCCGGCCCGCCGCCCACCGCCGCCCGCGTCCCGTACTGGTCGTTGGCCACGTCGTTGTGAGTGGCGTGGGAGTAGCGCCGCCCGTTGGTGTCGTCGCTTCCCACCATTCTGGCGCCCACCGCCGTCACCACCTCTGTAAGGACAACCCAGCCGTCAGATAGACGCACCCACCGACCCTCAGCCCTTACCTACAACACCCTCAGCAACACTACTCACGTCACACACCACAACACATACAAGTTCTAGTGTGTGCACGTAAAGTCACGTTCTCTTGACCTCACCATGCTACTGGTCAACTCATGCCGACCACCACAAGTTCATCTAAATATTTCCCAAGCACATCCTAAACAAAAAATAGAGTAACTTTTACTAGTTAGAAGAATTGTTATGCAAATGGATGTCTCATTTGAGACTTGATGGCTACTGGGGGTAGAGGTCTATGATGGTGCCAACAGTTGCATTGTGCAATGTTACAATACAATGTGATGGATCAAATAAGTTGATATCCCAGATAACATACGTTTTGTCAAGCACTTTTGTATAGCTAGAAGTATTTTTTAAATTATGTACAAAATTAAATAATTTGAAAATATGTATAGTGTAATACAATAAAATACAATATTTTGGAACCTTTTTCCTAAATATTGAAAATTGCGATAATAACTCGCGTGGGAAACTGAGACAAACTTTTTTACTCAAACTCAGTCTGCAATGGCCAGCAATGTTTCCGTTTTATGTTGTGTATTTATCTTGACTATACTGAAGATGCTATAAGCAACGTCTGCCTGTGCGTGGTGCTGTGAATCCCTCCTTCTCACTCCCGGGAACTAGGGTAGAGGCGGCGGCAAGACGAAGCCGCAATCGCTTGAGTTGATTTGGCTAGCTTGAACTAGAACGGGTTAGATTTAGTGAAGCAAAATAAGTAGGTTAAGCTTTGCTGTGATAGGATGAATCAGGATGTACTTGCTTAGGATGGGATAAACTTCATTAATTAAGATGGCTGGTTAGATGAGGCTTTGCAAGACTGAGTTGCGTCACTTCTCGTATAGTTTCAAGTCTTCCGCGCCCTTATTCCTTCAGGCACGTAATACTGCATTATTCAGTATAAAACTGATATTGTCAGTTAAAAATTTAGCATTAATTTGAGATGGATAATTTAATATCCGCAAAGCTTTTTACCGATATCAAAGCCACACTCAGGCGTCAGTGGACAAAGCAACAAGCGTTGCTGTAACGCTCCTTCATATTTCCTGTGTTTTGCCAACCCATTTACGCCATGTCGAAATTTGTTACGCCAATTATATATAATGATCGCCTACTTGATATAAAAATAGTAATGTATGCTGAGTTTAGTGAGTTTTGTTACTTTTAGGTTACATTCCACTCAAAGTAAATCAGAATTCTCACTTTTTCACGTTTGTGACGAAAAATATATATATATATAGACAAAAGCTACGTTATATAAGGTAAAATAGCGATTTTTGTGACGGCTGTTGGATGTAACCTCAATGTCATAAAACCCACTTGCCCAGCTAAATCTCACTTTACTGTCTTTACTATAGTTATTCTCTAATTAATGATCTATCATTAGGTATAATAATAATACGGGTTAAGTAGGAAAATGACCTATTACATCAAATAAGTAATGAATGCACTCGTAATATAAAAGTATTTATGTAATTTCTGTCTACTTTTGAGATTTTCAGATTGTCAGAAAGCACTCTGGCTCTTGTACTGCCGCTCATGTTACCAAAGACTATCCCGCTGATCCTCAGATCAAGCTGTATAGATCACGTGCACCTGCCCTAGGTACACACTATACTTGTGCTCACTGAACAACAATACAACACCGTTCGGCAACACCAACAGTTCTTGAGGTATGTTAGTTTTTTCATCAGTAAAATAAGAGGTGAATGTTTATAGTAGAAGTTAATTTTAACTACCATAGTTTTTCCTAGTGTTCAGAGGTGGTGGCAGGAGCCAGGTGGCACTTGTCGCTCATCATAGTGTTGGAGGCACCAGCTGCCCGATATTTGGCATCCTCCATCATGCCCAGCTCCACGTGAGACTCTGACTGGGGAGTGAGGGATTGCTGTATGTGACTGTACAGCTGCTGCTGTTGTTGTTGTACCTGCTGTTGCTGCCCAGGCAGCTGGTTTACAAGAGAAGCATCGTGGGCGTTAGCAGAATTTCCGTGGAGACCGAGCGGAGGCATAGGCTGGGCGGTGGCTATGGCGTGTTGGAGCGCCTGGTCGCGATTTTTTTCCTCGCGGTGGTACATGGTGATGTGGTAGCGTAGGGAGTTCTTGGACGAGTACTTCTTGTTGCAGTACGGACAGGTGAACACCTGCGGCACAGCGGCGTGCAGGTCCCGCACATGTGTGTTCAGGTTGGACTTGGAGGAGTAACTCTTGAAGCAGTGCGGACACTTGTACGGTTTGTAGCGCCCATCTGAAACAAAGCAAAACACGGAAGGTGAGGCAGCCATCCGATCCAAGAGAGGCAGTAGGAAGAGGACGATCCCTGTGCCCCTCTCCGAAGTGGCTTGTGTGGTAGAAGGGCGGGGCCTCCACCACAACTATCATCAGTAGGCTGATAGTAGGGGGGAGAGGGGGTCTACAACTACCAGTAGAATGCTGTGGTGAAAGCTCACACCACAACCACTATTTTACACTACAACACTACACACTCTACTTGAATTACACTGGTCTAACACATTTATAGTGGGCACAACTTCCTTTGGTGATGGTTCGGATTCAATGGGCACACAAGAACACACTCGGCTACATTGTTAGCATGATGAGTGTCGTAATTACTGACACTCGTTCAGCCTCGACACTTGCTGTCTGTCCAGTATGCCACATGAAGCCAGGATGGCTACTGTCGTTGACAGTTCAGTTACATATTATCATCATTTACCATCTTCCCCCTCCTGGCAATACACACGCACGACCCTCATCCGACCAGATAACAAGGTAATGCGACAAACGTTCACTGTATACTATTTTGAACAAAATACCTTTGAACTGAATGAGTGGAAGTTGATGAGGACAGCAGCGTCTTCTGTTTGGTAAAGGTCACTAAGTTAGTCCTGATTGACGTTAATCACAATGAGCCACTAAATCACAAATTTTCAGGGAATTTTGCAGTTTTGTCGTTATTTTGAATCAACATGTCTTTAAATATTTTTGTATTCGTATATATATCTTATCCATAACATTAGGCTGTACCATAATTGGTTCGCCTAAATTTTTGTGGGTTGACATTTCTTAAAGACTAAGAACAAAGCCTAACCAAATTGGGTAAGTTGGTGATGAAACTATGATAAAGTAGAGTGTGGGAGAGAGTGGGTCAGAGGCCACCCTTGGAGGCCACTGCTTCTGGTGTGTCCACTGCTGCTCCAGTACCACCACGATGGGTTGTGTCCGGCTACTGTCTCAGATGGCCACACTTATTAAATATAACGCGCCCCGGCACTGAGACGGCTATCTTTACTCGCATTCTCAAATTTGTCGTATTTTAGTCTGAGGTGAATCATGGAGTTTCTGCAGGCCGGCGCATGTGCCCCTTTTTGACCTAGTGTGTACGCCAGCTCGCCACACACGCCAACACCCCTTCTCCTATCAGCCATTCTCAGAGTAAATCCATTACACCCACTCTCAAACCACCTGGATAGTTACCTAGATATCTGTGGTGGCCTGAAAGCATATTAAGGTTCCAGTAATAGTTTACATGTAAACTGGCAAATGAACCTTTGTCCTAAACAGAGAATATTCTCAAGTTATAACTTTATCGTATTATAAATCCTTTGTTGAAAATATAAAAAAATATGCTGAACTCGCTTTCTTTGAAAATGTCTGAAGAATTTGTTTTTCTATAAAATCTCGGTCACACTCAAATAGTTTTCGAATTCCATATTTCACATTTTGTCAATAATACACTGTATTAACGTAACCAAACGAAATGAAACCTAGCCTAACCATGGATAGAGAAGATAATACCACTAATTATATAGTGGTTTGGAATCATTAACTCCATTCGATCCCCTCCCTGAGGATAGGTTGCATATATACACCCACACGCCGAAACCCCCCCACCCCCCCAACACAAAGTAGTATAACAATTTACATAAAAACTATGAAAGTACATAAAAACAATAAAAGTACACACAAATTGTAGAAGTACAAACTATAAAAGTTAATAAGAACTTTTTTCACGCGTAAACAGTGGCTGATGATTGGAATGTCCTTCCACAGGCATTAGTGTCAAAACTATTGCGAGCATGAATATGACAAAACTCGTACGCAAATTAACTATTTGTTAAAACAGACTGTTGGGTATAAAATAAGGATGAATATGTCACCTACTTGTTTAAAAGTGGATGCAATTACGCTAGCACAAGAACATAGCTGCAACCAACACCCGACGTCAGATATTTATAGTAAACCTGCATTTAGAAGAGAAGGAGGTGGAAAGGCTTGACTGACAAAAGCGGAGTAGGCGTTCGAGCACCATGATCACAGTTGTCAAAACTATATTAGATTTTAGATTTAGAAGCTTTACTCGTACATCGTATTCAAATCATTAATTCTGAGGAAAGAACCGGTGTACAGAGGTGTAAATTAAACTTGTATTTTAATAAATAAATTGAAAAGCAGTGAGCGTACGATTTGAATGGTGATATAACAGACCAGACCAGACGGTCAACCGGGAGGCCTGGTCGGAGACCGGGCCGCGGGACCGTTGATCCCAGAGACCTCCGCAAGGTAGGTATATAAATAAAGCACTGTTGTAGTAACGGTAACAGCAGGAGTAATAGTAACAGCAGGAGCTATTGTTGAGTAAGTGAGCCAAACATTCAGGTCCAGCACAAGAGAACTTACAGATATTCAGAAGCAGAAAGTACTTACACGTCGACAAAATTATGACGTTTTCAAGACACATGTGTACAGGAGTAGTGAAAGACGTCCATATTACAATATAACATAATTAGTGTCAGGATTACCTGCCACAAGTAACTATTATTACTTGTGGCGGGTAACCGCAAGTGATGATTCCCCCAATCCTGGCTCTTCATACGTAAAATCCACGAGTAGAACTGGCCATACTCTCCAGCACTACATTATTGAATGTCCATTCATTAGAAGACTTTGTACTTGCTGGAATGAGGTTTTTAGATAGCTTTACAAGTACTTTATCCGATCACGTGTTTTTGAGGATATCCTCATAATCCATACCATCCTCTCAGATGAGGATCTTAGTATCACATAGCCATAAACTCAATAACCCTTCACATAGCTTAGGGTAGCCACATAAATGTCATTTACTAAAACAAAACTCGTGTCGGAGGCGGTTTAGAACTCGGGACGGGAAGGGAGCCTAGCGCGGGTCACAAGAGACGAGGCAAGAGGGAAGGCGCACCACATTATTGATTGATGACAAGATGGACCAGATGTGTGTGTGTGTGTGTGTGTTTATTATTTGCGTCTGCAGGATCGAGCTGTTAGTTCTTGTGTGTGTATCATAGGCCCAAGCTAAGACGAACCGTCTAATTAACTAAGAGTCTCTGCTTTCACATTAACTCTTAAGGTCTCATCTGGCTGTCTCTTCAATGGATATTTCCATGGCTCAATGTGTCAGTGGTTGGTGAATCCACGAAGAGGAAGTAGAAGAAGAAGAGGAAGTAGAAGAAGAAGAAGAAGAAGAAGAAGAAGAAGAAGAAGAAGAAGAAGAAGAAGAAGAAGAAGAAGAAGAAGAAAAAGACGAAGAAGGAGAATCACTAAGAACAAAGAAAACTTATTGACCATACGATGCAACCTGTTTATATTACAAGAATGTAAGAACTCTTGTATATATAAATACAAAAAAAATCCATTTCGAGGGGTAATATTTTTGTGATGCTTTGTACTTATTTGGAAACTAACGCCACAATCAACAATTCTTTTTTTTTCTCTCGTGCTCATCAATATTTTTATTTTCCCAGTAAAAAAAATACAAGTTTTATCTTTGGCTTCGCGTGAGATAGTAGTCACTTCTGCTGATGGATTGATGAAACTGTCCGTGCCAGTCCGATTTTCAGTCCCTATAACTACAGTTAAACTATGACGATGCTGTGGTACAATTGATGATAAACTATGGCGATGTTATGGTACAAAAAAAATGATAAACTATGACGATGTTATGGTACAATTGATGATAAACTATGACTATGTTGTAGTACAATTGATGATAAACTATGACAGTGTTGTGGTATAGTTATTGACAAACCATGATTGATGTTGTGATACAGTTAGTAATAAACCATGATGTTGTGGTGCAGACTTGGGAAAAAGGAAGCGACGTAACGTGTAAAGCAACTCACACTACAACATCACAACCTTTGCAGGAGCAACTGACCTCCACTTCGAACCCATCCTAACATCAACGATGGTAACACGGTAAGATCATACATAATGATGGAGCTGCTAATTATAGTGCTATAATAAATACAAAGTCGCTGACAAAAGTAGCAACACTGGCCACGAGAGGAACAATGCTCAAGAAGAATGCAGTTAGCCTCATGTAATGTGTGCTGGTACCCCCCCCCCCCGTGGGGGGTAAGAATAACAGACAATTCCAATGTTCAGGCGAGGACGACAGCCAGCCTCGCCACGCTCAGTGACCAGCCCGTCCTCTTCAGCATATACAACCATTTTTTGGGGGACCTAGGGGAGTTAGACGTCGAAATGCCTTGTACTTTCGAGAGAAGGGGTTGCCTACAGCGTCGCGCCATGCTCAGGTACAACATACAAACAAATACCTTAAGAACTAGAATAATTAAGAGAGAGAGAGAGAGAGAGAGAGAGAGAGAGAGAGAGAGAGAGAGAGAGAGAGAGAGAGAGAGAGAGAGAGAGAGAGAGAGAGAGAGAGAGAGAGAGAGAGAGAGAGAGAGAGAGAGAGAGAGAGAGAGAGAGAGAGAGAGAGAGAGAGAGAGAGAGAGAGAGAGAGAGAGAGAGAGAGAGAGAGAGAGAGAGAGAGAGAGAGAGAGAGAGAGAGAGAGAGAGAGAGAGAGAGAGAGAGAGAGAGAGAGAGAGAGAGAGAGAGAGAGAGAGAGAGAGAGAGAGAGAGAGAGAGAGAGAGAGAGAGAGAGAGAGAGAGAGAGAGAGAGAGAGAGAGAGAGAGAGAGAGAGAGAGAGAGAGAGAGAGAGAGAGAGAGAGAGAGAGAGAGAGAGAGAGAGAGAGAGAGAGAGAGAGAGAGAGAGAGAGAGAGAGAGAGAGAGAGAGAGAGAGAGAGAGAGAGAGAGAGAGAGAGAGAGAGAGAGAGAGAGAGAGAGAGAGAGAGAGAGAGAGAGAGAGAGAGAGAGAGAGAGAGAGAGAGAGAGAGAGAGAGAGAGAGAGAGAGAGAGAGAGAGAGAGAGAGAGAGAGAGAGAGAGAGAGAGAGAGAGAGAGAGAGAGAGAGAGAGAGAGAGAGAGAGAGAGAGAGAGAGAGAGAGAGAGAGAGAGAGAGAGAGAGAGAGAGAGAGAGAGAGAGAGAGAG